TCTTCGTAATAACCTTATTATTATACATCTTTTCCTACCAAAGATACATCATGGGAATGCCGAAATCTAAAAAGTTTAGAACAGAATCAGCGAACTTCTTTGTATGAAGTCCGGTTAAATTCTGGTGGCAGCCATGTTTGTTTTTATTATTGGAGGACGCTTACACGCGTAATAATTCCATATTTGGAATTCGCATTTCCTAATATGGTAGGATGAAATACTCCGTAAAATACCGCAAAATTACGGCACGCTGTAACCTATGGCGTTACGGTGACAGATGTATAATAATGCATGTTATTTACACAATTGATAAGTTTTGAGTTTCCCAGAAGTTTTCCCTTCCATGTTAAGCTGCCATGTTAAGAGGTGTGCTGGCAACATTAAATGAAGTCAATTTTATCAGGCTGTTCTCTTCAGTTTTTCATAAGTTGAGTGTTGCCCCCCAGAGATATCATACAGATGTACGTACAGAGACCAAGATGTTATAAAGTACATTTTGTCAATCATTTTTTTGTACATGTATGTATTAATGAGAATCACTTTTTTCACGTATTCTACGAATTTTTTTTGTAAAACTTTCAAAAGTAATGTGGAAGCCTACAATACAGAAACCACATTTTCGGAACAAAACTGAAAATGGTATTGTATAAATTCAACAAGAGGCTTAATAATCCTGCTGTCAACATAGACCCCCCCCCCCCCATCCCACCTTGTCTATAGCGCATACACTCACTCATTTGGTATTGTATAAATTCTGCAAGAGGCTTAATAATCCTGCTGTCAACATAGACCCCCCCCCATCCCACCTTGTCTATAGCGCATACACTCATTTCACATTTTCCTCCAAATACATCACAAATAGTGAACATATTTTTAAATTACATTTTAAGGTAGAGATGCAGTTTATTTGACTTGCTTTTTAATTGAGTAATTAGACAATGAAGATGGTATTATATATCCAACATGTTATATATTTTCTGAAAGCTTATTATACAAACTTTGTAAAACTTGTCTTTATTTTAAATATCCAGAATGCGTTTTTGATTTTGGGTCAAAAATATGCTTTTTTGGACAAAAGTGGTTTAAAAAAAATTAGCTCAAAAACTTCAAGTCCGTTTGTGGGTAAAATTACATCACTGGATACCTTAGTATACTACTAATTCAAATGCGTCCACTCATCTCTCTAACGGCTTTCAA